AGGAAGCGCGCTGCCCTCGCGCTGATGTAACAGGCTGTGCCCGAGGACGCCCTGTACCCTCCGCAGCACGGCCCGTCCCGCCCCGCTCGGGGATGCACGGTGCCTCGGATTCAGCAGGGTATTTCCGATGTCCTATTTTGACTTTTAGTCCAGCCTGCTTCAAAGGAGTCAGGAGCTGCGTCCGGGTTTGTCCCGAAATAGGCAGAGCGGCTCTGCCCAGGCTGGCACGAGGGTGCGGGGAAGGCTGAGATCGGAATGCGAAGCACACGCTGAGCCGGGCCGGCGCCCTCCCATTTAAGCCGAGGGCAAAGGCCCCTGATGATTTCAGCCTGTGCAACATTAGGGTCACGATGATCTGCTCAGGGGTCTTGCACGTACTTAGCATCTCATCGTCTGACATCATCCCAGCAGAAGCAGGGGCAGCTAATACCTAACAGCTGCAACCTGTACCTAATATTTCCGTGCTTATCTCATGTTAATTCTGGCTGCTTGCATTATTTATGCATCAGTTTGATGTAGAAGTGTTTCACTAATACAAACAAGGGCAGTGTAGTCATATTAGATTTTTTTAAAAAGGTGAAACTCAAATTCCCTTTCTTGGAAGCCCTGGATAAATGTTCACATATCCTGAATTTTGTGTAGCTACTTCTGTTATAGGCCTGACCCTATTAGGAACCAAAGTCACTGAAAGATGAGGATTCTCGGTACCAGATGGATAATGAACCTTCTGCAGTTGGCACTGGCCTTAACTTGTTATCTTGTGCAGTTGTGTTTCATTCATACAGCTTAGTGCTAGATGCAACCTCACTTTCTAGTGTAGATATGAGCAGAATTAACAAATACATGGATTGTATTAGTTTGATAAACAACACTACTGTCAGGCTGTCCTGTTTTTCATTACAAGATGTTTGCTGTTAGCTTTTATTCCAGTTCTGAATGACAGTGGATGTTTCACCCAGAACCATATTGTTAATCAAACCCTCTCTAAAGGGGGAAAATATCAAACACACAAAAGTAGACCAGTTACAGCATGTGTCTCATTTGTTCTCATAGTTTATAGATTAACTTACTATATTGGTCATGTGCATGGTTCAGGAAATGATCAAGATAAAGGGATGCAGATTCATGAGCCCAGGAGGACATTAGGATCATAAAAAAGCAAGCTGGAAGGACCCTGAAGAAGCCATCTAGTCCAACCCCCTGCTTAAGGCAAGATCATGTGTCTAAATTATCTTAGACAACTGTCTGATAACCTGTTCTGTTGCCAAAGCTTCATCCAGAATACAGATGACCTGCACCAGGTTCAAGGGGATGAAGACCTAAACAAAAGCTGTCAAAACCCCCAAGCCCAACACTTCATCAAACCAGTGACCCAAACTCCTGGCGTGTTGTGACAAGGCTGACAAGACAGAGTAAAGCAAAACGTTCCCAGGAGGCCAAGGCTGCTGGCCTTGGTTTAGGTTTGGAAGGCTGCACATAAGACAACAACATGAAAAGGAGTGAGTGTGGGATGTGAAATTAATTCAGTTGAAACAGAGTCATAATAAAAACTCCTACTTTGATTCTCACATCTTTAATTGATTTATTTACTTTTTATTGGTCTGCTGTAAACTCAAACAGATTTCATTCTAGGCTGCCAGAGAGAGCAAAGGCAGTTCAGACAGAGGTTGAACATATGTCCCAGCTTACAGGGATTGACCCAGGCTTGAGGAACAATTTGAAGGTCACAGACAGCTCAAGTGAAACCAAGATGCTGTTTTCAGTAAAACCAGTGAGGCGTTCAGCTGGTTACTTCTCTCTGCTTGCTTTGCCCTGCCAGGTAGGCTGTGCCCCCTTGACTACTCTGCTGCTTCCTTGTTGTTGGATTTGAAATGGCTTCTGCTCGCTCACTGGGTTACGAGATGGGACCTGGGACAGTGCAATGCAGTAAGGCAGCAAAGTCTGTGAAGCAGCACCACAGCTGCTAGAGGTGGCAAACTTTTGAACTTAAAATGTGATTTTTAGTTTCAATTCAGGCCCTGCAGAGCAACAGGAGCGGAGATTGTGGTACTCTATTATTCGAGGCCTCTATTACAGGAAATGACAAAGCAAGATCTCTTCTCGGCATGTCTGTGCTTGTCCAGGTAGAAGTTAAAGATAGCACTTTTGCAACCACAGGAATATGCCCACTAATATTATTTCTCTTTCTCACTGAATAAAGCAAGTTGACAATTTTGCATTGGGCAGGTTAGATTTGCACCCTGGGCCGGCATAAAAGCGACTGCTGTGCTTCGCTACACATACCGTCATTTGATCCTCTCTCGGTTTTGCCCGGCAGTCTTGCCTCTGCCGGCAGTATTCAATGCACAAGCAAAACCAAACCCTGTTCTTTCCCATGTCTTAAAGCCCTCAGGTGGCAACCGCAGCTAACTCGCGTTAGCGGAAGTGCTGCCAGGCAGGACCTGGGAGTCTCCAGTATTGCTCAGGGACCGAGGGTCCTGCGCGGCTTTTGCTTTTCCAGGCAAGTGCGTTGTCACCCTGTGTAGGACGCACCGGGTGCTGCCCCTCTTTCCTTATCCGCCCCCCCGGCTCGCTCCTCCCCAGGAAAGAAAGGCGTGTGATCTCCACCCCTGCTTTATTTCACACGCCAGGCAAGGCTGTCTCTCAACTCGCTGACCCGCGGCTCCAGCCCTTGCAGCGAGGGGACGCCCCGCCCCCGCCGGCGCGCGACTCTTCCCACTCTGCGTCACGTTCGAGTCACGTTCCCTGGGCGCCGGTTGCCATGGCGCCCAGGGAAGCCGTTGGCGCCGCGCGAGACGCCGAGGTAAGAGTCGGACCCCGCGTGCAGGGCGCCCCGCGCGGGCCACGTCACCCGTGACACCCCCACGATCCCGGGCCTTTCCCTCTGGCAGGGGGCTCCTGCGCTCCAGGGGCCTGGGGCTTGCATGGAGCATGGATTTAGGGGTGTAGGTTGTAGCCGTGTTGGTCTAAGGACATAGTCAATAAAATAATAATATCAGATTTACCCAAAGACCCTTGTCTTACTTTGGATTTGGCAGACAAGGGTCTTTGGGTAAATCCGGTATTTTTTATTACATCAACTCAAATAGCTGGATAAATTCTTCCTTGCAAGCTTTGGGGGCGAGGCAGCGCGTGCAGACGGCCTGTGCTGCCCCTGGATGGAGAGGTAGGTAAAGCAGCCAGAGGCCAGTACATAGGCAAGAAAGCCAGTCAGTGCAAATGTAAATGCTTTGGATGGGGGGTGTAGGTCGTAGCCGTGTTGGTCTTGGGACACTGGCAGATAAGATTCTTTGGGTGAAGCTGATATTTTTTATTAGACCAACTTAAATAGTTGGGAAAAAAATTATCTTAGGAAGCTTTCGGGTTTAAAAACCCTTCATCAGGCTGGGGAAGCAGCTGCAGTATCTGAAGCCCCCGGCTGGCAAGGCTGGGAAGGAGACTTGCTGGTGGCGGCACCGCACAGACTTGAAGGACTGAGGTCTGCCCAGACCGTAGAATATGAAACACGAAATTTCCAAAAAAAGGTCTGAGGAGATAAGCCCAGGTCCCTGCCTGGCTGCTCCCCACCCCCGCCTGCTCCTCCACGAGGAGGTCGGCATGGTCCTAAACCAGTTCATCCTCCAAACAGGAGTCGTTCCATTCACAAAAATGTCCTGGAGGGGCCCTGGTGCTGGGGAGGGGGCTTTGAGTCTAATGAAAAGCACCTCGAGTCTAAACAGGTTGAGAACCACTGGTCTGTACCTTAGGCACGTACATTTTTAACATCTTTTTCTCTTGATAGTTAAACACCTGCTGCTGACCGTGTAATCCCCACCAGTCCTGTGTCTTCCTGCCTCACAACTGTGCCTGAATTTTGGAAGGCCATGGATCGGCATCTTCCTACGCACGCATTACCTGAAGAAATCCAGAAGGTATAACATGCTGGAGCCAACAATAACACCTTGGGTACAGATTTTGTAGTCACCTGTGAATATTTGCTGGCCTGAAGTCAGTTCAGTTGCACTGCTGGGAGAGTTTTAGTTGCAGAATGGGTATTTTGGAGCCCTGTCCTTCTCTCTTCCTTCTGAACTTAAGTTACATGCAGTCTGCTAGTGATTTTTAAAACCATAGAGATTTTTCATCACATGGTAGCATTGTGCGATTTGCAGTATGGGAGGCAGGATGACTACTAGATGGACCTTGAGTCTGTTTCAGCATGGCAGTTCCTATGTTCCCCTATGTATTGCCATGAGTTTGGAAATACTTCAGTCTTTTCAAATGAGTGCCAAGAAACTATCCCATAGCACTTCATACTTTACCATATTTTATGTGTTTCTGCATTGAGCTATTAAGCTCATTTTTGTGTTTTGAGGTACACTGGTACTAAGGTAACAATGATGTTTGTAGAGTTTAGATTGTGGCTTGTATAGGATAGTTTGGATAGAGATACTCCTGCCTTAGGCAGGGGGTTGGATTAGATGACCTCTGGAGGTCCCTTCCAGTCCTACTTCTCTATGAATTGTCCTTGAAATGGGAGAAGCTTATTGACATACATAAATGAAGTTACTTTTTATATTTGTTAGCAATTTATGTCTTAGCTGGCAAAATGGCAGTGTGTGCTGGCTCTCATGCCCAAATATCAAATAAAAAAGGAATGAAAATATTAGATTTGAAGTTGGTCTGTCCCGATGTAGTTCAACCCTCAAGTGTTTCAGGAACTACCTGAAGCAGTCTTTGGACTTCTAGTGATAATAAATGAGAATGTATTGAGGAAGGATGAGGTATGAGGGAAACCACAGAAGGACAAATAGAATATTTTTCTTTAAAAAGAGTGAAAAAGGAGGGGTATTTTTACCCCGCTAACTTTGGATCTGGAAAGATCAATTTGTAAGCCTCAAGAGGATGACAAGGTGATAAAATACACTCTGTATACGTCTGTCAAGAACAAATCACACCAAGCAGATCTAATTTCCTTCTTTGATGGGGTATCTTGACTTTAGTAAGGATTTTGACACTGTTCCAGATAGCATTTTTCCAGACATAGTAGGGACATATAGATGAAGTCTAGATGAGATTATTATAATGTTTGTACGCAACTGATGGAAAAAAAGTGTACTCAAAGAGTAAGTAATTTGCAGTCAAACTGTGCTGACATATCAGTTGAGGTCCCACAAGGGTCTGTGCTGCATCCAGTACTGTTCAGTATTTTCATTACTGATTTGAATCACGGAATAAAGAGCACACGTGGGATAGTGGCTGGCAACATTTCAGAGCCATAGGCTGAAACAGCCCAGCTTGGGTCTGAGATGCTGGTGTTCCAACCTGGCTGGGGCATGGGCACAGCTCCCCACCTCCTGGCATGGGGCAGCTGTGGCAAGGGCTTCAGCACTTGAGCATGGCTGAAGCCCCCTGCTGCCAAACCACTGCTGAAGCCCCCTGGCTCTGCAAGCCAGATCTGGCATGTGTGCCTTATGTTGCTGACCCTTGATTGTAGAAAATTTGCGTGTGGGAGGAGTTATAAGCACTTTGAAGGACAATATTAAAATTCAAAATCATCTTGGTAAACAGCTGAAATAGAAATCAAAAGATGAAGTACAGTAAAGACAAGTGAAAAACATTCTTTTTGGGAAAGAAAAACCACGTGCACAAATACAGAATAGCAATAACTGACTAGACAGTGATATGGCAGAAAGCCGGCTGAAAGCAGAGTGGATTATAAAGGGAGTATAAAGTTGTCAATGTGATACTATTGCAAAAAAGAAATATTCTGGGTTGTATTAACAGGAGTATTTTATGGGAGACATAGGAGGTAATTATTCTACTTACCTGAGCTCTGGTGAGGCCTCAACAATAACAAGTGAAGTTTTGGGCACCACAATTTATGCAAGATGTAGCCATCATAGAGAGAGTTGAAGAGATAATAAAGAATGAAAATCAGTGTAGAAACATGGCATGTAAGCGAGGTTGAAAGAACTGCTAGACCAGAAAAGATGGAAGGGCATACAAGATAATAATCTTCAAACACATGAAAAGACAGTGCTTAATTGTTTTAAATTGAAAACAGTGATTATCTGTTCTCTGCGTCCTTTGAGAGTGGAACAAGAAATAACAGTCTTAACATGTGCCAAAGGAGATTTAGGTTAGATATTAGGAAAAAGCTTTCAAGATATAAGAATAGCTGAGTATTGGAACAGGTTACTTAAGGAAGTTATAACATATTTGCTTAACCTTTGTATCTGATGCTACCTCAGAGTAAGGGGATAAACTCATTAACCTCTTGAGTCTCTGTCCAACCACAGTGAGTTGTATTGTAACTGGGTGCTCAAGTACCATGGGCAGCAGCTGTGCATGGGGGAGCATCAGTGCCTTTGCGTTTTTTTTCTTCTTAAATTGAAGAAAAACAATGTAAGGGAAGTACATGCTATTGCCTTTACATTTTACAAGTATTCCAATAAAAATAATTTCTTTCCACATAAAGCTTTGAATTTCTTTGAATATAACATTTAAACCATATTAAGTGTGCTGTATTTAATTTTTTCCTAATCAAATATTTCAGTTCAAATATGTGTGGCTATTAGGACATAAAATTTACATGGGGGTACTTTTTTAGTTTTGTTTACTAAATATGAGTGAAATAAACATGCTAAATCAGATCACACACTATTTAGGGCATTGGAAAAATTTCTGGAAAATGTTCCAAGTCAAAATTTTCCAGAAAACCCACATCTCTGAGTGCAGCCATGAGCTATATAGCAGCTCTCCCATGGCAATTTTGCTTGAATATAATAGCTGACCTATGGTACTTCTGCAATTCCTGTTCCTATGTAATTTGTCCTTTATGTGGACCTCCTCCTTCACCCTCCACTCCAAGAAGCCAGATGGCACTTTTAAACTGTTTGATATTTAAATTCCTGCTCCCTTTTTCTCATGGACTGCTCTCAGCTACCAGTACTGCTCTGACTGGCTTCCTTACCAGCCTTTGCTGTGCTAAGCTAAGGGGGTGTTCCCAGTGTGCAGCTAGCTGGCTATAGAAAAACACAAGCATCTTGATGACTATCTGGAGGCGATGTTCCAAGCATCCTGCAGAAACAGGACTATTCACCATTTCAGCCCCTGTTTTAGTGAGGAATCTCAGGACTCAGTCACAGTGGCAAGCATATATCAAGCACCTCAAGAAACTATTGGAAGGCAAAGGATATGCAGACCAGCGGTCTGGCAATGGCACCTGCTTTGTATTCCTGAGCTTGCCAGTGCTCTGAGCACCAAACCCACAGCCTTCTACAGAAGACCTCTCTCACAGAAGCAGAGCCAGTTCAGCAAGCTCTTGCACCGGGCATCCTAGAAGAGGTCTCTGAGGAATTTGGTCAGTAATGAAGCCACTGACACTCCTGTAGAGGTAAAAGTGGAATAATCAACTTGATCTTGTGCTTGGTAAGTACTGTCAACCGTATTTGTTACTGTTATGAAGGAAGTCTTGGTATAAAGAGTTTCATTGTAGAGGGGCAACTAACTCAGAGGGATTTGGGTGTTCCCAGGATATGATCAATGATAGAAGTCACATAAAAGTTTATATGCAGCACCTTTCTCTCCACACCCCTCCCTTCCATTCCATGCTCCTTACCAATGCCATGTAGATCCCAAAATAGCCACTGAGCAATAAAAAGAGCAAGTAAATGCCCAAGTCCAGTACTAAGCATTTTGTAGTATTGCCTTATCCATTTAAAGTACAGTTACATGGTCAAGTGCTTCGTAAGAGCGG